TCATTAAGAAAGAAGTCTTTGGTTCTGTTGTAACAGAGCTTACGTTATCTTGGCTTTGCTTCACAGACTTGTTTGTGTTTGTTTCAGCCATCTCATGCTGTTGCTTTGATGCTTGTTTCATCTCTTCTTGTTCATGATATAGTTGTGTCATGGTAATTCTACATGGTTGTTGTCAATTCTCTATGAATAAATGAAACAGTAGTTATCTCTTGTCAGCATCTCTAAGCACCAATGCATTGAGGTGGAAATAGGTGCCCAATCATATTATGGTGCAGCCCATTAGGTGAAATATATTCCCAAATAGAGCTTTAAGTTGCAATTGGTTTTGTGATACTAGTGACAACTTAACTGTCATTGACAATAAATGAGCAGCTCTATTTTCCCATACTGTAAGTTGGTACCATTAAATGTCGGCCAAAGAGTTACCATAAATGTAGGCTACCAAACCATGTCTACGTAACTCCTACCATTTCAGTTCAATGATACACATGCTAACCAGAGTAAGAAGGATATAAAAACAAAAGTTCAGTTTCATTCAAGACAACTCACAACAACCAGATTGACTTAACATATGTTATGTGTTATGAGAACTGATTGTGAGAAGCAGCTCCAAAGCAACAACTTGAAATGGCCGGAACCAAATGCATACTTGTCTGTACAGCAAAGTCCAAGTAATTTAAGCATCGTCTAGCAGTACCAACAACTTCTTTCTGAACATAAGTAGAAGTGTGTTCAATAGCTTAAGTAATTAAAATGTTCTTACTGTTGTCAACAAGTAGCAGCAAACCAGACAAGGAGAGAGAAGCTGAGGACAAAAATTAGTTATGCACCGTGTACGTATATTGCAGTAGAGCAGAGTAATTCAGAACAGCAGTTTTTTAAGTCATTCCCAGCTGCGCTCATTATCTGAGTTGATATGAAAACTTGCCCAGCACTCCAGCAAGTTATTCTAAGATTTGTCATTGTTTTATTAATGGAAAAAAATATATTTTGAAAAATGTTTTAATAATAGTAAGATATTAGGGGAATATTCCTGGGGGGGGGGCCTACAAAAATTTTCTAACTTACTGTATGTCATCATTCATCGTATTTTTGTTTTTGATCTCTCTATTACAGCTGACGCTTCTGTATTTTATAGTCAGGAAAGGAAAATTGAGCCCCCAATGTACCAAAGATGGGCACAAGTAACAAGTAAGGCAATTAGGAAGAACAATGTTCAATCACCCATTAAAGCCTGTCGGAATGAATCAGGTGAACTTCCTCACAAAGTAAAAGGTAAACTTTTTTTTCACCTTTGCTTATTGGGCAGATCTTGAAGGATCCCTTGTCTGTAGAGTCCCCCCCCCCCCTGACTTTTTAACCATTTTTTATAGTTTTTTTTTAAAAAATGAGTTTTTAAATTTTAAATATTAATAAAATATTAATGTGTTGTTTATAACTAATTTTATAGGTCAGAGTGGCCTAGAAAATTTTCAAATTGCTTCCTTGGGCTCTTGCTCTTGACATAAGTGCTCTTGCTAGTTGCGATCTGTCTGAAGTAGACATCAAGCTATGACAATTTATGGTAGTGTTCACTATTCAGTAGCCTTTTTTGTGAAATAAATGCTGTGCACTTTCCAGTGGCTAACACATCAAAATGTCAAACAAAAATGTTACTGCATTCGGTTTAAATACATCAAATGAAGTGTCCAAGTGTCCATTGCAAGGTGAATCATTTTTCATACTGCGACTTTAGAATTTGAAATGTTAGGTCAAAGGTCAGTGCAACTTGGTTCCGTCCTTTATGTTTCATCTCATTTCTTTTCAAACCTGCGTTATACACTCTAAATGGAAAAGGACAATTTTGTATCTAGTTATCTAGCGAGGATGCATTCTTAAGCATATCTCAAATAGATGCAAATTTGTATCTAGAAAGTTACAATTTACATAGAAATAACTTTTGCTGTGTCTCGTTTAGAATGAACAAACATTGCCCCACACTTGATGTACCCAAAAGATATAGTAACATTTTTGTTTGACTTTTGGATGTGTTGAGCACTTGTAAGTGTACGTCATTTCAGCACTTCAGAAAAAGTCCTAATGAATAGAGAACAACCGGATGTCTACTAGAGAGATCACAACTGACAATTATCACTCATGTTGTAAGTAAGAGCCCAACAAACAGAACATTTGGAAGCAGTATGGAAAATGTTTAGGCCACTCTGACCTTTAAATTAAGTTATAAACAATATTTTAATATCCTATTAATATTTAAATGTAAAAAACTCAGTTTTTAATAAAAACTATGAAAAATAGTTAGAAATTCAGGGGGGGGGGGGCTCCAGATGTTTTCCAGCTTATTACTTTTCACTCATTGCATTCCATCAATAAATTCTTGTTTTGCAGGAGTTTTCTTCAACTTCAACAAGGGTTATAACAAGTTGCCAATGATGAAAAGGATTCATCTGTGGCAAAGAAGTTGCCCTCTGAGGAGACTATACTATTTCTTGGTGTGGAAGCTATTAAATCCTCTAGTGATTTTGTCAGAGTCCAGCATGAGTCTACAGAAGCTTGTGAGCCACATTTCCAATACAATGTTTAACTTCTCTTATGTTTTTTTGATATAATTTTATCCTCAATCTTTTGGTTGGTATGGATAAAATTATTTTTCTCATAAATATGTTATGGTTTTGAGCTAGGTGACTGGATAAAGCTGGGACCAAAATTAGGATTGGCCTGGCTTTTCTGCTAATCTAGGTGTAGCCACTAGAAACTTTGGTTCAAAGTAGAAAAACAACAAAACTCAGGGGCTCAACCATATTTCTTTTTTTTTAAATTGTGCATGTGTTTCAGGAGATGTTTAATTTTGATTTGGTGTTATGATTTTCTTCATTTGTTTCTTTCTTGTCCTTGTTTTATTAGTTTGTGAGGGGGAAGCTAGAATGCTTGGGGCCACCTGTGGTTTGCTGGACACTTGCTCATTACACTGTGAAACACACCATTTTAGCATTGTCCCTCCACCCTCACCAGTTATGAAAACAAAAACAATGAGAAGGAAACAATGAAAAGATATCAAACACCAAATCAAAATGAAACGCATCCTTGAAAAGAGAGCTCAGCTCAAAAAATAATGAGAG